TTGCTGAGCACGACTATGCACCAGACACCATGCGCAGTCCCACCTCCTTTGAGAATGGTTTGAAATAAATATATTTGACATCACTTTATAAGAAACTAGAGATCAAGTAACTTACCCAGAGTCCTCCACGAGCAAGTGGAAAAGTGACTAGCTGATTTGAAAGTCAAAAGCCAACGATAACTGTGGGGAAAGGAACTTTGCAGTTTTGAAAAAAGTTGTGAAAGTGGCAATAGACAAATCTCATAAGCTCCACTAGAGATCCTAGCGAGGCAGTAGAACAAAAAGAAGAGATGCCTTTTTCTTTTTTCTTTTTTTTTAAATATATTTTATTGATTTTTTACAGAGAAGAAGGGAGAGAGACAGAGAGCCAGAAACGTCGATGAGAGAGAAACATCAACCAGCTGCCTCTTGCACACCCCCTACTGGGGATATGCCTTCAACCAATGTACATGCCCTTGACCGGAATCGAACCCGGGACCCTTCAGTCCTCAGACCGATGCTCTACCACTGAGCCAAACTGGATTCGGCAAGAGATGCCTTTTTCTAAAACACAGAAAATATTGACCACATTCTACTTTCAACCCAAACCGAAGCCCAGGCTCCATGCCCTGTGCAGTTTCAGATTAGTAGGGGGGTGGTCTGATACCCAGATTTACTAAATAAAGGAATTCTAAATCTCTACCTATAACTTTTACCAATTCTCTTATTTTTCTGGTGTTTTAAAAAGTTGCCACTTTGGAAGAAAACGGTAGGTGGTGACTGTTTCACTCTGAAGCTGCTAAACTGATTTCTGAAACTCCATTAAGAGGGAAGCCACATTAGTGCCTGTATTGTATTGACAAAGTGTTCTTGAATTACGACATGAAGACACTCAAGCGATTACACAATCGGGTGTGTTCTGTCAGGTGACCGAGTTCTATTTTCAGCTTCATATATAGAAGCAGCAGCCCTGAGAGAGTGGCCTGGCATAAGGGAAGCTAGTGAGCATGTGCAATTCTCATTTCTAAGAAAACACGTGTCCAACAAGTTCCCACCCAATCTGCTCCAGGACTTATGTTTGGGAGAAGAACTTAGAAAATAAATGTTGGGGGAGGGGAGGGGCTTTTTACATGCACTCCCCTATTTTTTTTTTTACTTTTTTTTTTTTTACACTCCAGTTCTCTTATGCTGTCTGAAATGAGGTTAGGAGCACTAGGGGACTGGGGTGTGGCGAGGGGACCTTCACTCTCCTTTGACATCTCATTTTCTCTTGCAAACAAGTGACCTTGTCTGGTCATCCCAACTTCAGCGGAATACCTGGCTCAGACAAGCTGCCTTGTTCAGGGTTACTCAGCTCACAGATGTTGCCTCAAAAGTCCAAAGTGGGTGCTGTGTGTACCTCATCCCTCCCAGTCAACATTCACTTTTTAGGGTGTCAATTATCTTCCTAGTGGGTCATTCCCTCTGACAAAGATTTGAGGAGTTTGACAGTTTATGCTGTTGGGAACGGGAGGGGGCAGAATTATTAAAAAACCCAAATCACTGCCAGGTATGTTTAGACCAAAGAACTTATTCGTTCATAGATAGATGGATAGATAAAGAAAACTTTTTTTCAAATATATTGACTATTGGGATTTCCTTTTAAATATAAATGTATTTGTTAATTCCTAGAAACTTTTTGTCAGTCAACGGATACAATTACAGTTATGTGGATATCTTGGAAATTATTTGACATTAAAATAAAGTTATCATCCTAACTGGTTTGCTTCAGTGGATAGAGCTTCGGCCCTTCAGACTGAAGGGTCCTGGGTTCGATTCCTGTCAAAGGCACAAGCTCGGGTTGCAGGCTTGGTCCCCGGTAGGGGCGTGCAGGAGGCAGCCAATCAATGATTCTCTCTCATTATTGATGTTTCTATCCCTCTCCCCATCTCCTTTCCTCTCTGAAATAAAATATATATATATAAAGGGCTCACACTATCTTACTTTTGAAAATACAGTTACTGTATCAAATTACCTAGTTCTCATACCTAATGCCTATAAATTACATCCAAGCCTTGCTGTGTTACTCCTTGCACTACAACAAAGGAGTTAGCAAATTAGTACGGAAGGTTCCGTTCGGGCTTTGCAGAGGCTTAGGGACAGGAGTTCCTCTTCCCCTGGCTTTCAAATCAAATGCAGATTGACCCCACCTTTTGAGGCCAATCTCCTCTGCTCCTGCATCACAAAGTCCTTCCTCTGGGGGAACCGGTAGTTTGTGTCGCCTTCTCCACAGCCTCTCCTCCTATTCTCTAGCTGCCACCTCGCCTTGTCACTTCCCCCCTGCAGCTAGTTCTCTCCCTCCCTCCGCAGCTAAAGGAGACAGTTTACTTTCCTTGATTTCAGCAGACTTTTGAGGGCGGGATGGAGATAGGGAGAAAATGCGGCTCCTAGATCAAAGCTACAAACTGGGGATATCCTTTCAATTCTCAAACAGGAAGGCCACTCCGCTACACCTACTTGGGCACATGACTGGCTTCTAATGCAGCAATACTTACTGCTGGGGGCGGGGACTGAAAAACCCAATGACACTTAAAAGTAAACCGCACAGAAGTCCCTCTTACCTAGCAGGCTCACCATACTTCTGAATAAATCCTGAATTTCTGTAGGTAGGCTACTATATGGGCATTAATGTCAGGTACTCCAGACCTGGCATTAATTTTCTATTTCACACTATTTTCTATCCCAATTAAAGTGTAAGTCTCTGGACAACAAAAATCATGCCATGTGTGCCTGTCTTCTCTATTCCTAACTCAGAATGGGACCCAAGGGGATGGTTCCATCAGAAGGTGCATGCTGGTGAAAATTAATTAAAATACAGTCCAGCCAGTGTGACTCAGTGGTTGAGCATCCACCTATGAATAGAAGGTCATGGTTGGGGAGGTCATGATCAGGTTGTAGGCTGAATCCCCAGTAGGGAGTATATAGGATTCTTTCTCAGCATCCATGTTTGTCTCTCTCACTCTTCCTCTCTGAAATCAATAAAAATATACTTTAAAAAAAAGAAAATTAGTTAAAATACAATATTTGGGTTATGTAATGAACACACAGCAGTTTACATGATAAAGAAAAACACAGAAAAGAATGACATAAATTTTTAATGGTTTGTAGCTACAGCATCCTTTTATATGTATATATACATGTATAAATATAGTTACAGATCATAAATATCCACATGGCAAAATAGACCTGCCACTAGGAAGATACACACAAAATATCTCTGCAACTAAACAAACTAACAGATGTAAGTAATACTGAAGAAAAGTAGATACTGAGGTATTTTTTTAATCAAAGTGACTATAGTATATCAGCGATTTTCAACCAGTAAGCTGCAACAATTTTTAAAACATGCAATACCTGGCTATTTAGTCAGGGACACTGTCCTATTTTTCCTTAGATGGTCAAATAAAAAAAAATGACAACCGCCAGCCGAAACCAGTTTAGCTCAATGGATAGGGCGTCGGTCGGCCTGCGGCCTGAAAGGTCCCAGGTTCGATTCTGGTCAGGGGCCTGTACTTTGATTGCGGGCACATCCCCAGTAGGTGATGTGCAGGAGGTGGCTGATCGGTGTTCTCTCAGAGTGATGTTTCTAGCTCTCTATCCCTCTCCCTTCCTCTCTGTAAAAAATCAATAAATTTTTTTAAAAAATGACAATAGTCAACCCAACAATAGCTGTCAGATGGGAATGAATAAAAATTATACATATTTTTTGTCAGATCAGCAAAATATATATTTTTTGGTGTGCCGCAGAACTTTGGTAATTAGTTTGTGTGCAATGAGATGGAAAAGCTTAAAAATCGCTGGCCTATATTAATACATTCTTACTGTAGGAGTTCAAGTAGTTATCAAACCCTTATCAAAAACAAAAAAAAACACCCTTGTTTCATAACCTAAAACTGTAACTTCAACTAACACAAATTGTTAAACAAAAAATATTTTAATTATAAATAGGTAAAATAAATAATATTATTCTTAATGAAATTCAATCATAATGTTTTTATATATATTTGGAAACTGTTCATAGACTGGTCTTTTTTTAAAAAAAATGAAATGCATGAAAACTTTCTCAGAATCTACATATTACTTAAATGGAAATTAATTTTATATATATATATATATATATATATATATATATATATATGTGTGTGTGTGTGTGTGTGTGTGTGTGTGTGTGTATAATCACCCAGAATGAAAATCCCTTAAAATCCCCTATTTATACATAAGATTTTCATTCTGAATGAGTAATCTATTCCTTTTTTAAAAAAAAGTATATCACTTACACCTGAAACTAATACAAAATAATATTGAATGTAAACTGTTATTAAAAAGTAATTTTAAAAATATATCCTAATTATGAAAACACGTTTAATTTCTTCTAAAAATCACTCCTTATAGAATTCACAGTGATTAGTGTGGAAAGGGGCATTTTACAGATTTTAGAAATTTCTTTAGAAACATTCATTTTCTTATAAACAATTACTTTATAATTGTTTTTACCAAGTTTTAATTACAGCAGTAAAAAATAAAATTCACTTTTTTTTTCTATTATCCAAAATCTCTATGTTCTTTATCTTTTAACATTCAACCTAAGAATTTCACTGGCACCAAATTTGATCATACTTTGGTCAAATTTTTTCAAATTCCATACTGCCCAGCTAAGGCCCACAGGAACACATTTAATGAAAAGTTGTCTGAATAGAAGTAATACATTTTAAGTAGTAAAAATTTTTTATCAAATTTTATATTTTGTAGTGATCTATGAAATCAACATTCACTATAACATTCAGTGTTCTCAGAATGAGACATTTACTTTTAACAAGATAATATAATATTATAAATTGTTCTGGAGTTGTCATCTATAAGTAGAAATAAACACTGAACATACTCTTTTTTTTGGCCCCTGCCAAAACATGTTAGTTATTTATCAGTTCTTCTTTACATCAGGCTCGGCACCAACCTTCAACAAAAATACTAGAACAATTCTCTAAGCAAAAGCAAAAAGTGTAATATTTCATTCCATATTTTCAAAGCTCTTCGATTCTTGCTTTAAAATAAACAAATGACTTCTGGGAAAACTCCGACAGAATTTCACTGTGATGTATTCCATCTTCATTTCCAAGGACATCCCAAAGCAAGTAAGAGCTCCTTTACATTCTTCTCCATTATAATGCAGTCTCTCGCCACTAACTGATGAAACATGGTAAATCCAGCTTTAAAGGAGTCGTCTCATTAGAAGGCTTCTGAAGCAGTCAGGTTCCTGAGCCGAAGAGTTTGTACATTAGATTCATAAGTTTCTGCAGGAAACTCAGTTTGTCTCCAATTCTCCTTAATTGAAGGGCACACTCAATTTCAGCCTCTGAAAAAGAATGAAAAGCATCGAAATTAAATTGACAACATTCCAAAACACAACCAGCAAGATTGAGGAGGTATGTTTCCTCTTACTGTGAGCTTAATGTACACTTGTTTTCTGTATGTGAGATGGAGCACACACAGACAACATATACAAGCACACTGTGACTCAAACAAAAAAGAAAAGAAAAAGAAAAGTTAAACGAAGACATTTTCTTTGAAATCTTTTTTTAAAGCATCCTGGATGAGGCAAATATTATCTTATTAGCAAATACAAACATTTAATATGCCAAACACCACAGTGAGATGTTGTTGGCCTCAGATGATGTCATTCCTTTTTCTCTCACTTAGGGTTGGTGGGAGGAATAAAAGTAAAATTTTATACTCTTTTCTTTTGTTTTCAATTAGGACTTAAATTTTGTGGCAATAATTCATAGCTAAGATTATGCCCTCATTAATAGGCAAATCTAAAATGTATTCTTTTCTTCATTTAAAAAACTCTGAATTTTTCTCATAAAAGATTCATACACTTGTTTTCCAAAAGTAAGTCTAAAATAATTTTTTAAATATATTTTATTGATTTTTTTTTTTTTTTTAACAGAGAGGAAGGGAGAGGGGCAGGGAATTAGAAACATTGAAGAGAGAAACATCAATCAGCTGCCGCCTGCACACCCCCCACTAAGGAAGTCCCCACAACAGAGGCACATGCCCTTGACCAGAATCAAATCTGGAAGGCTTCAGTCTGCAGGCTGATGCTCTATCCACTGAACCAAAACAGTTAGGGCTCTCTAAAATAATTTAGAAGCTTAAATGTTAGCTCTAAGCCCAATTCTTCCAACAAACCCAACCTCTACTAATCCATTGCCTTTAGGGAGATGAGTGGAGTATAAGTAACTCACATGTTTACTATTTTTCAGAATAGAAATGCTGTAATTAACTGAATATTAATTTAAGAAACATATTTATAATATAATTTCCAAGTAAATTTTAAGTAAAATTGACATCAAATCTACACTGATTATAATTTAAATTTTCTTGGAAAGTCAAAGAGCAATTCGGGGCCTTTTGTCTACTTTAAGATCATGATTATGAACATTAAAAATCATGACTACAAATTGCAATCTGGTTTACTTAGTAAGTAGACCCTGCAAAGACCCTAGTTAGGCTCAAAAGAAATAAAAACTTCGTCTCTGTTTTAGTTACACATCTATAAAGGTATTAACTTTAAAAATGGTAATCATGGATGTTAACCAAAGTTAATGTAGTAATCATTTCACAACATATACATGTATCAAACCATTGCGTGGTTAAACTAAAATACAATGGTATATGTCATGTGTCTCGATTTCTTTTTTAAGTGTTACTATCTAAACAAGTTTACGTAGGGCCTTTCTCCAGTGCCTTGTTTTGGGGAACTAAGCAAGTTGGATGGGTGAAGGTTATGCACTAGGTCCTCCCCTCGCCGCCATCTCCCTGGTCCTGGGTAAAACCTCGGAAGCACTTCCAAGGAGGCGCCTTTTCAAAGCACGGTCAAAACTACTGGAACATCACGAAAGGCAGAAAGATTTTTTCCTTCCCAAGCAAGAGCCAGGGAGAGCAGCCTGGCGCCCATCTAGCCATGGCTGCACTGCCCATACACCACTTCCTTTGCGTGGCGGGGAATGGGCTCTATAAAATGAAAGTGTGTTGAAAGCAGGGGGATGGGGAGGCTATTACCTGTTGATGTAATAGCGGTCGGACCCACCCGGATTTTCTAGCTAAAAGCCTTGCTGCCTTGTTTTGATAAGATTTATAAATCGGGGGGTTGGGGGGAAGCCTCGGATCTGAAAAGTTAGTTGATGGGCAGTTTGGGGAGTAGGGGGAGGAATGGATGGATTGGGGACCAACTTCGGTTCTCCTACCCCCTTTCAGCAACTAATTAAGATTGTTAAAATGTGATAGAACTCTCGACAAGGAAGGAAAGAATTTCTGGGCTCCTGAATGCAGTTGTCCCTGCGGAACCTCCACAAGTGAGTTCTCTGTGGAAGAGCGGGGATCACACCAAGCGTTATCTCTGCTTTTGTTTGCGTTGCGGGTGGAGAGGGTGATAGCGCCCAGCGCAGGGCACCCCGAGGTCCAGAACCCCGGAAGGGGCCCGGCTTAGGAATCGCGGGAGGCCGGGCAGTGCCCAGAGCTCCTCCCGGCCCCACCTGCCGTGACCATGACTTTCTCCTGGATGCTGGCACCGCGTTTGCACTTTTCTTCCCCGTGGCCAGGGCAGGGCAAGTGCGGCTGGAAGGCGGGCGAAGAGGCTTTCAGCATCCGCTGGAATACCGCTGCATCCCAATCCCAAACCTGCGTCCCTCCCTCGCCGGCTCCGCGGTCCCCGATAAAACCCCCCTCCCCCACCCCGAAGGACTTCCGCGAGGCGGATAAAACCCAAAAAACACGTGCAAGGGCGCAGACCAGGCCAGACCCCGAGGCCCCGAGTAGAAGGGATGGCCCAGCCCCGATAGAGACCTCGCCCCGGTCCGGGCCCCCTCGCCCCGGCCGGGCCTTCCGCCCCATCGGGTCCCTACCTGCCGGGGCCCGCGCGGGGCCAGGCTGCGCGCTCTTACGCGCCCTCTTCCCGGGCATCTCCGCAGGCGGCCGGCGATCCCTCTGCGGCCGATCACTCCGGGGGACCGAGTCTCCGAACCCGGAGCCTGCGGGAGGCGAGCTGCGCGCGGGGGGCCAGGCCGGGCCCGAGAGGGCTGAACAGGACGGATCAGGTCGGACACCCGACTTAGGTGCGCGCCCGACAACCTCTGAGGTCCGCGAAACGGCCAGGCCCGCGCTTTCCTTTATGGGGGACTTCCCGGTGACGTAGCGAAACCAGGCGCCGGGCCCGCCCCGCTCCCCGCCCCTCTCGCCGCCCCGCCGGCCGCGCGGCGGCCCCAGCCCGGGAGGAACCCGCTCCACCTGCGCGATCTGCCCGGACACGTTTCCCACCCGCGGCGGCCCCGGCCCGCGAGGCTCCCGGGTCGCTCCCTGAACGAACGGGGCGTGGGCGCCGCGCTCGGACCCGGGCTGGCGGGCGGGCGGGCGCCCGGAGCCGAGGCCGCTGCAGGCGCCGCAGGGCCCCGGAGGCGGGCGAGGAGGGAGGTTTTCCCGGCGGGAAAGTCCAGGGTGGGGAGGCCGGGAGCTCGGTCCTTATCATAAATGCGCAATTAGAGACTTCGGTAAACAACCCAGGCCAGAGTTGGCGGAGAAAAATTGTCACACTTAGTGTTTCAGGGAAGCGGCATGATAGCTGGAGGGATGTTGCCAGAGGCCACGCAACCTCAAGAGAGATGGAAACTGTTGGGAAGTTAACTACAAATTGAAACCCCGGAGCAGACACCGCTTTGATTTGGAAGGGGTGTGTGTGTGTGTGTGTGTGTGTGTGTGTGTGTGTGTGTGTGTGTGTGTGTTGTTGTTGTTGTTGTTGTTTGGATGTGAGAGGGAGGGGATTAGTTCTCGGCCCCCGCCCCCGGAGTCAGGATTGTCATTTAAAAAGTTGAGCATGCCAAAACCGGTTTGGCTCAGTGGATAGAGCGTTGGTCTGCGGACTGAAAGGTCCCAGGTTCGATTCCGGTCAAGGGCCTGTACCTTGGTTGCGGGCACATCCCCAGTGGGGGGGGTGCAGGAGGCAGCTGGTCAATCTTTCTCTCTCATCAATGTTTCTAGCTCTCTCTTCCTCTCTGTAAAAAAAAAAAATCAATAAAATATATTTAATAAATAAAAATAAAATAAAGATGCAATAATAGAAAATAGCAAATGGATAAAAAAAATAAAAAGTTGAGCATATTACCTCTGGACTGGTCACAATTGCCTGTTCTGGATGCTTAGTAACATTAAAAAATAATAACAATCCCATCATATAGAAAACATTCAAACGCTTTTGTGCGGGGAAACGTGAGCTATCTGGGAATATGAAGTTATTTGCATGAGGTTTGGCTGGCCCTTGAATAATTGATTTCATTATTATGAAGAGAAGGAGTAACTCGGTCTGCTCACACTGAAAGCCGCTTCATGCTAAGGGTTTAAGCAGGCATTGTCTCCTGTCCCCCAGGCACCCCTGAAGCTGCGGCTCTTCACCATCAGGACCTCTTACTGAGGTTCATGGAGACCGAGCTCACAGGGGCAGATTGCAGTGCCGGGGGCTGAGCCCGGCCGGCCCACTTGCCCACTGCAGCCTCCCTGGGAATCGCAGTTTCTCAGGAAGTGCATTCTCCTATTACCCGCGCTCTTGAACGCACAAGTTGCAGATTGGCTGCTTAGAGCTGCGTGGCTTCCTAAGAAGTATTAGGTTTGGTTCCCAAGATGGTCTGCAAAATGTCTTTTGAACATTTGAATCGGGTCGCCAACATTTAAAATTGAGACATTGTAGTAAAGGCTGGGGTTTCTGGCGTCCTTTGGAAAACCCGAAGCTCTCCCAGCCCGGGATCCGTTTCCCAAACGCGCAGAGCGGACCTGGAGCGGCGGCCGCCTGTTCCCCAGGGAGACCTGGGGCGGGAGCGCCCCTCGCCACGCTCCCTGCTGTTTGTTTTCTCATTTACTTTATCTGGCCCCAGTAGGCAGCAGGGTTGTTTATTTACCTCAAGTCATTCAATCCACACAAATCTGCAAGTGTTTATTTTTGCCTTGGTTCTGCAGAGATGTAGACAACGCTATAAGCATGGGACAAAACTACTCTGGAGTTTAAATAACTTAGTTTTGAGTGTGGTAAACACGTCGAAATTAAGAGAATTCGGGCGGTTTTCAGCACGTGATATGGGAAGCACGGAGGAGAGGCCGCCTCCAAACCTGTGACCTGGAACCAGATATCCCACCGCTAGGTCCCCCTTTGAAAGGCTCCTTCGGACTAACTTAATACCCAAGGCACACCATTAACTTCCTGCTTGGATAAATTAATAAACTTCTGATCAAATCGTACACACTGAAAGGCAATGAATACTTTACAACAACAAAAACAAATTCAGTCCTGTTTACGTACAAAGGGTGTGTCAATCCTGTCCTCGACTATTATCATGATAAAAGGTTGTTGGTCACGTGACCCATACAAACCTCAGGCAACTTTGTGCCTTTTAGAGAATTGCAAATTCAACTTGCTGGAAAGGAAAAAGAGGAGCAAGTGGGGGGTGGGTTTCAGAGATGGGTCAGAACCAGCTGTTTATGGAGGGCTTTTTAAGGTGTTGGATTTGAGACAGTTTGCAAACTCTTTCAGATCTCACATCCGACTAAGGAAATTCGAAGCTGAGCGTGAAGGGCTTTCTTAACTGTATACTTTTCTGGAATCCCCTCTTTTCTGTTTAAAAAACACATGCAGCCCTAGCTGGTTTGGCTCAGGGATAGAACGTTGTTGCCCTTTGGACTGACAGTGCCCAGGTTCGATTCCGGGCGAAGGCACTTTCCTGGGTTGCCGGCGCTGCCAGTCAATGATTCTCTCTCATCCTTGATGTTTCTATCTCTCTCTCCCTCCCTGTCCCTTCCTCTCCGAAATCAATAAAGAAATATTAAAATAACAGGGCTGGAGAGGGTGACAATTTTTAAACTACTACCAGATAGCAGTCTTCATGGACCAAATTTTAAAAATGACTGTACAAATCCAGCCATGCCTGTGTTGTCCTTTACAGTGTTAAAAAAAATACTGAAAAACAAAATAGCAGATGCGATTAGTAATAGAACAGTCATATATTTCCTGCAGAAATGGGGTTTGACAGGAAGAAAAAGTGGGAGGTGAATAAGAGGGGAATTTTAAGGAAGCCTGTGAAGATTATATATAAATATATATATATATATATATATATATATATATATATATATATATATATGCTGTAAACCTGAGTCTGTTTATTCAGATAAAAGAGAACTTTTTGTTGTTGTTGTTTTTCCCTGTAGAGCATGGGTGTTAACACGATATCAGCCTCATACATTGATCGGTTAAATCTCTCTTTATTTAAACAGACACTGGGGTAGGCTCTGGGAAGACAAGTGTCTCCTCTCCCATGGAGGCTGCATTGAAGAGATCAGTACCTCACAAATTCAATGCGCATGAGGTCACATTGTTAAAATACACATCTGATGTTATGGCAGACTGTGGGAGGGCAAGTAAGCAGGAAAGAGCATCTACATAGGGATAAATAGAAGTTGGCCAAGCAATGAGGCCAAAGGGAAGAAGTATGCTCCATGCAGAGTGAAGAGCAGTGTGAGGTGGGAAATGGTGAGAGGTGAGTGGGGAGAGAAGCCACTGGAGAGTGTGGGTATTACTGTGGGAGCAATGGGGGTGGGGGGCACTGAAGGTTTTAAGCAGGTGGGTGATATGATTAGTTTCTAGAAAGCTCACTCTGGCTGCAGTGTGACTAGATTAGTTGAGCCGAGACTGAAGACAGTGACTCGTGAAGATACTGCTAGCATTTTCACACAAGATGGTAGAGTGAACAAAGACTGTTTCAACCATTCTCTTGTTAAAATGTCCATACTTCCTGACTAGGATCGGTCCACATTTTGTTAGAGCAAGATTTGATATTTTCAAATAATGATAAAAATCTCTTATATTAGTTTCCTAGGATTGCCATAACAAAGTACCACAAACTGGGTGGTTTAAAACAAGAGGGCTGTCTTTTGGCACAGTTCTGGAGGCTGGAAGTCTGAAATCAGGGTGTCGGCAGGGCCACACTCTCCCTCAGGGCTCCAGGGAAGAGTCCTCCTTCGCCCATTCTAACTTCTGGTGGTTGCCAGCAGTCCTTGCAACCCTTTACTCATAGATGTATCACTACAATGTCTGCTTAGATTTTTATTTTATTTTATTTTTTTAATATACATTTTATTGATTTTTTTACAGAGAGGAAGAGAGAGGGATAGAGAGTTAGAAACATCGATGAGAGAGAATCATCGATCAGCTGCCTCTTGCACACCCGCCACCAGGGATGTGTCCGCAACCAAGGTACATGCCCTTGACCGGAATCGAACCCGGGATCTTTCAGTCCACAGGCCGACGCTCTATCCACTGAGCCAAACTGGTCTCAGCTCTGCTTAGGTTTTTCTCCTCTGGGTGTCTGTGCCCAAATTTCCCTGTTCTTATAAGGCCATCCATTATTGCATTATGGCCCAGGCCAATCCAGTATTACCTCATGGTAACTTGTTTACATCTACAAAGACCCTATTTCCAAATAAGATCACATTTGCCAGTTGGCAGGTGTGGGGGGAGAAAGGAGTCAGGACTTCAAAATATCTTTTGAGGTACACAATTCAACCTGTAGCATTTCCCTTCATCAACTGTCTTTTCAAAAAAAGTTCTATGTATACACTCTCTTCCTATTTACAATTTGCACATTTTACAACCAAAAGGTTCTTAGTAAACTGGACAATGGATTTAAGCAGCCTGAAATGAAGGTCCAAAGCAGTGGAGATAAGATAGGAAATAAGATGACCTCTGAGGGAACAGGTTTGGAACATCTGTGAGCCACGGAAAGCATGTGTGCTGCTTAGTTGGAGACTATGGTATGACCCCCCACCTCGACTCCAGCTGGACTTGCCACTCACAAAGTCAAACAAGTTTTTAAGAAATCCTTTGATGGAGCTTGAGAGTAAATTTAATTTCTTTTAGTGCTACATATAAGCACATTACAAAATCTGAAAGACAGAGGAGACAAAAATTTTAATCTCCCAAAGTTTCTATTTTCATTTTATTTTCCCTTGTTATTTACTTTCTGGATTATTACAGATAATGATCATCAAGTTTGTTCATGCTTTTTTTTTTTTTTTTTAGAGAATGGAGGGTGAGAGTGAAAG